TGAGATTTGAACAGCCGAACTGCAGGCTACTTCAGCTGACTGCAGTTCTGCATTTAACCACTGCGCCACCTCGGCTCTGCCAGGAAACAGGTCCCCAGGTGCATTTAGCATCCCGGGCTCAAGAACACACCCAGGTTTTTTTTTAAGTTTTGCAAAAGGCTAACAGGGGTGGAGCTGTCCTCGACTCAACCACGACAATTGAGCTCCAGGTGTCTGTTGTTAAGCGAGGCAGTGATGAAGTGAATGCTGTCCCATTTTACGCCCTTTCTTGCCACTGTTGTTAAGCGGATCCGTGCAGTTGTGAAGTAAGCTTCCCCATTGACTTTGCTTGTCAGAAGGTCACAAAAGGTGGATCTGGGACATGTGGCCACCATAAATACGAGTCAGTTGCCAAGCACCAAAATTTTGATTAAAGGACCGTGGGAATGCTTGCAGGTCGTAAGTGTGGGAAACGGTCCTCGGTTCCTTTTTTCCAGTGCCGTTGTAACTCTGAACAGTCACTAAACGAATGGTCGAAAAGTTGAGAACGACCTGTGCGAGGTCATGTCGAGGATTGGGATTGGAAAAGGGGTTGCTTTGTCTCAAGAAGCGTAGGTTGATTTGCTCCATTTCTTGCCCCAGATCCACCGAGCAACTGCCACCATTATTGAACCCACGGGAGAGTCGGACAATCCCTTGCGCTTCACGTCCGGCTTAGTCGTTGCTCTGGATGTGGACGCCACTCTGGAACACGTGCAAGATCCACATAGCACGGTGAAGGTTCAGGTGAGGAGAATTGAGCCGCGAAGGCCACCGTGCTGGGTTAGAACAAGGACTCAAATTTCCCCACCTTTTTGTCTCCAATTCACGGTCGGCCAACTGCCTTCAGGGTGCGCCCCGGTGTTTCTCCACCTCGGCCCAGTGGTGGGATTCAGCCGGTTTGCACCTATTCGGGAGAACCGGTTGTTAACTTTCTAAGCAGTTCGGAGAACCGGTTGTTGGAAGAAATCTCATTTTGTTTTTCCCCACTTTGCAGGGCTAATCCTGTAAGGAAGGCAGGAAGGAAACATTCTGGTGTTGTTTCTAGTCTAATCTTTATGGCCCTGCTTACAGAAACTGCCTCTCCGGTTAACCCTTATCACATTGTCACAGCTAAGGCAAAGCGCCCATTGATGTGAGTGGCATTGAGTTGGCCATGCCCACATGGTCACATGACCACCGAGCCCCACCTATCCAGCTGGTCATTAGGGCAGAGAACCGGTTGGTAAATTTGAATCCCATCACTGCCTTGGCCCCTTGAAGGTGTGTGAACTTCAACTCCCAGAATTCCACAGCCAGCAAAGACTATTGTAATGAGATTGCATGGGCTTTTTAAAAAATCTGTATCTTTTTTATCATTTATTATATATTATTTATTATTGTATATGTATGCATGTATGTATGTTCCAGCATAACTCTGGAGCGCCTCAAACAATTTCAACCGAACTTGGTACACAGATGACTTTCTCTCTGGAAACAAATACTAGAGGGGTGGGTGGGGTGTAAGACACCCCTGGGGTTTGTGTGTGTGTCTGTGTTCCAGCATAACTCTGGAACGCCTGGCCCGTTAAGGAGAACAAGTGCGGCGTCCTAGAGTGGCAATTGTTCGTGATGTCATGGGAGAGAGAAGGGGGGTGGGGTGGGGAGTAAGACACCCCTGGGGTTTATGTGTGTGTCTGTGTTCCAGCCTAACTCTGGAACGCCTGGCCTGTTAAGGACAGCGAGTGCGGCGTCCTAGAGCAACCATTGTTTGTGATGTCAGTTCCTTCGCAGCTTCCTCTAGAAAGCCAGCTGTCACGTTCGCCCTCCAGTGGACCAATGGAGAAGCGCCTGATGGATTTGGGGCAAAGTGCCAGGATTGTAGACGGGGCGGGGAAGAGGAGCGCATGGGAGGGGAAAGGGAGAGGGCAGGGATGATGGGCATGGGAGTAGGAAAGAAAGGTCCCTCTCAATGGCTCCCTGTCAGACAAACGCTTCGACATCTATAAATGCCCAAGCAACGGCGGATTATCAGCTAGTTCTTCATAAAGTGGGTGTCAAAATAGAATAACTGAGCTGGGAAAAATAATGTCAGAGCAATGTGGGACAAGCCGGAATTGCTTCATTGCAGGATCCAATCTGGGTCGGTCACAGGGATCAGAGGCTTAGCTGTCCGTGTTTTTTTATTCGTGCTGGAGCCCATCCTCAGGAAATTTCTCTTTCACCAGAATGTGTGCTTTGAACTATTCTATGTGTGGTATTTATTTGGTGCCTGGTTGTGTGTGTCTTTTTAGTTGTTTAATTGGGGTGTTGATGGGCGGCTATTCCGTCATTGGCTGTTGTTTCCTTCTGCTGCCAAGTCTTTGGCTCCCGAGTATCTGATAAGCTGGTAGTAAATCAGCACTCCTGTTGACTGACAAGGGACCCGTTTCCCAGGCTTCAATCATTTCCCCGGCTGTTTTTGTCCCTGCTCGGCCAACAATCTTAATAGCTGCGAAATTTGAATGCATTGCTTCATTGATGATTAAAGGGTTGAGGATTGAGAAGAGACAATCACTTTGAGTCTCTCTTTTCTTCCAGATCATGTATCCTGATGGTCAGTCCCAGGTGATCCACCCGAAACCGGCAGATTTTAGAAACCCTGGTCCAGGAAGACACCGATTAATTACTCAGGTTTATCTCTCACATACTGCCTGGACAGGTAGGGAAGACTTTGCTTTAGTGCTTCTGTTGATCCCCTGGGAAAATTCTATGTAACGTAGATTTCGTCCGGGTCATTTCTCAGGGTTCAAAAGAATTGTTTATGTACGTAGCCGGTAGTCCTCAGCTTACGACCACAGTTGAGCCAGAAAATTTATGTCGTTAAGTGAGAAATTTGTCCAGGCAGTTTTGCCCCGTTTTACAACCTTTCTTGACCGCGGTTGTTGAACAAATCCCCTGAGCTGTTAAGTTAATAACACGGTTGTTAAGTGAACCTGGCTTCCTCGTAGATTTCACTATCCAGGTGGTCACAAAAGGTGATCACGAGGCCCTGGGGCACTGCAACTATTTTAGGTACATGCCAGTTGCCAGGCCTCTGGATTTCGATCACCTGACCCACGGGGATGCTGCAACGTGTGCAAAAGGATCTTGTAAGGCAGAGGGATGCGATGGCTCAGTGACTAAGACCCCGAGCTTGTCGATCAGAAAGGTCCGCAGTTCGGCGGTTCGAATCCCTAAGTGAACTGTAGTAAGTTGAGGATTACCTGTATATAAGTCTAAGTGCTATTGCTATTGATGTACACGATACACACACACACACACACGTTCTGACCCCCCCTCGTCCTACACCAAAGCACGCCGAGACAAAGATACTGCAAGGATTTATTAACACACAGACAGGACCTTGGCAGCAAGCCAGCACAGACTAACCTTGGCAGCAAGCCAGCACAGACTAACCTTGGCAGCAAGCCAGCCTGCCAAGCTAGCCCCGAAAGTTCTCCAACTTTAGTGAATACGTTGACTCCTGCAAAGGTTTGTGTGTGCACAATCATTCCTTTTATAGTCTTGAGAGGAGCCTAATTACCACCAGCTGAGTTCAATTATCTCCTGTAACTGCGCAGCTGTTCCTTACGCCTATTAGCTCTTTGGTGCTGGGCATCCAGGAACAATTCCCTTGGCTCCTCCCCACTGCTCCA